GGGGGAAAGATCTTAAACTTTCAACTGGGTGGGGAAAACCGGGAAGCTTTCAGATTCGGGTTTTCCCAGATGTGTCAACATGGCTGTCTTAATGAATTGGAACTTTGAGCAATACTTTGCCTTGGACTCTGATTTAATTTTGGATGTTATTTGGAACCCTCACAGTCACGTGGAAAAGATCAAGTCCACATGTGAAGGTCCCCTTAAATTGATTTATTACTAAAAAGCCTATGTGTAGGGGTCTTCTCAACTAACTGTTAGTATTTGCTTGGAGTTAAATAAGGGTCAGTTCAAGGAAAGTTGAATTTAGTTTGTTTGTGACTACGTAAGGATTCTAGAATGATTCCTCATTTAACTCCAACCTCCAGGTTCTGAAACTCCTTCTCCTACATTAAGTTTAATAATTGCTTTGTTTCTTTATCTTACCACTATCCCTGGCTCCTGAGTCTCTTAACATCTCTGGAGAGTTTTGTATGTTTTGGGTTCAGGTGGTGCCAAGTTGCTGCCCAAAGCTAGTGTTAACTGCTAGATTAAAGCACTTTGGTAGCAAAACTTTAAAATAATCTCTCTCTTTTTTGCCAGGTTTGCAGAAGAACTTTCTTGACTCTGGATACAGGATTCTTGGAGCTGTAGCCAAAGTCCGAGAAGCCTTCCAGCCCCAGGAGCCAGATTTTCCCCCTCCTCCTCCTGACCTTGAGCAACTCCACGTAAGGAGCCATTAGCATTAGCATTGTTGATGAAGAAGACAATCTGAATCTGCAGCTGTCTGTTTAGAACTGGGTTTCTCAAACTTGGCAACTTTAATATGAGTGGACTTCCAGGATTGGAAAAAATACTGGTTTAGAGCATGTTTGTGTGTTTCTGGGTTGTGTGACTGTATTGCACAACTAAATCACTTGGCATCTAAGTTAGATTCCAAAAACACTGATATCACAGTATTCCTTTCCATTTTCAGAATAATTTGTAACAGGTTTTTGGGGTGTAATTGTAATTTCTGTGGCTTCTCTCTGACTCTTGATTTGCACTATCTGGCTCCTGTATGGTTTGTTAAGGAAAGTAGCAATTTGCGAAATGCATGCCACTCGGTGCTTACGGTCACACCTACACTAGAGGATGTAAATATATTCCTAAATAGAAAACACAGCCAGCTGTCTAAAAGTGGAACAGGTTTATTTTTAAAAGATTTAAATTGGTGATTGGGATTGCAGAAAGTCCTTCACCTCTGGCCACCGGAACTTCCATCAAAGGACAATAGAACAATAGANATGCTGTTTAAACCAAATGCAAGTCGATCCAATGCAGGCATAACAAATTAGAGTTAATTCAACTGGGTTTTCCAATCTAGTCTCTTACCAATGGTTAAATACGTACATAAAATTATGACAAATCAATTTCATTAATCATTTATTTATCCCTCCCTTCAAAGTCTCTCTATGATACAACTAGGTTGGCCTCAAAGTCACAACTGCAGCAAGAGACATACCATATTTTTCGGAGTATAAGACACACCAAGATTTTGAAAAGGCAAATTAAATAAAACGTTTTTGCACTCTGCAGAACTCCCAAAAATGGCTCGTTTTTTGTGGAAACTGGCCTTTTTTTTTAAAAAAAAAAGAAAGGGCATGAATAACCTTTAGGAGGCTTGCAGAGTGCTCCTGGGGGCTGTGGGGGCAAAACTGAGCAAAAAATGGCACATTTTTCACTCATTTGTGCCCTCCCCCACCCCCAGGAGCACTCTCAAAACCTTCTAAAGACTATGCCAGGCCATTTTGGTGAAGGGGGCGGGGTTTCAGGAAACAAAAAATGCTGTATTCAGTGTATAAGATGCACCCAGATTTTCAGCCTCTTTTTTGAGGGAAAAAGGTGCATCTTATACTCCAAAACTATGGTAATTGCCAAACAATTTAATGTAATTTAATTCAATACAGCTAGTCCTCAACTTCATGACCACAATTCAGTCCAAAATTGTGAGTGAGACATTTGCTCAATTTTGCCACATTTTACAACCTTTCTTGCTACAGTTGTTAAGTGAATCACTGCAATTGTTAAGTTAGTAGCATGGTTGTTAAGTGAATCTGATTTCCCTATTGACCTTGCTTGTCAGAAGATCATAAAAGGGGATTACATGACCCCAGGACACTGCAAATTAATATGAGTCAGTTGCCAAACATATGAATTTTGATCAGATGAATTTTGATTTTGTAACTATGGGGATACTGCAATGCTTATAAGTGGGAAAGATGATCATAAGTCACTTTTTTCAGTGATGTTGTAACTTTAAACGGTCACTAAATGAACTGTTGTAAGTTGAGGGCTACCCGTACACTCACTAAAGCTGAATGAGTGGCAGAGCATTTCCTAACCTGATAAAAAATTCACACTAATTCAAGCTATATTGTTTAAATCAGGCAGTCATTTTATGTTTTTAAAGGCAATGTGATAAACCAGCTCTCAGCTTGTTATTCCAAGCCCCCAACTCCTTACTGATGTCCTAAATAGATATTAGCTCTGGAGGGGTTTCTATCATGTGAATGCTTCCCTCCTGATAATGATTTAATAGGGGAAGGCACAAAGTTAGAACATTCTGTGTTTCAGGGTCAGAACAAAATAGCACCATTTTAGAACATTCCATGTTGGTTGCATTCCAGCAGAATAAAACTTGAGGCTGCTGAAATAATTAGTGTAGAGGTAGAACAAATATCAAAACGTTCTCATGTTCTTATGACCATAACAAGCAATGGAACTTGCATGGTTTGGTGAGATTCAGTTTTCTGTTGACTCTGGGTCACCATCATTAGCTGAGGACTCAGATTCAGGAGAAGAAACCATTAGTGGCTAAGATGCTAGGCTTGTCAGTCAGAAAGGTCGGCAATTTGATGGTTCGAATGCCTAGTGCCATATAACGGAGTGAGCTACCGTTACTTGTCCCAGCTTCTGCCAACCTAGCAATTCGAAAGCATGTAAAAATGCAAGTAGAAAAATAGGGACCACCTTTGGTGGGAAGGTAACAGTGCTCCATATGCCTTTGGCATTTAGTCATGTCTGCCACATGACTACGGTGATGTCTTCGGACAGCGTTGGCTCTTCAGTTTTGAAACAGAGATGAGCACCACCCCCTAGAGTGGGGAACAACTAGCACAAATATGTGAGGGGAACCTTTGCCTTTTTAACTCTGAAGTGACTGGGCAAGTAACCTCATTCCTTTGTTTGTGTTAGAAAAGCGGGTTTTTGTCCAACAATTGGCTCTGCCTCATCAGCCACAATGACACAAGCCGAGAAGTCCACATATTATCAATGTTGAGTCTCCTCATCATATCAGCCATCCCTTCCTGGCATCATAGATCTTGTCCTAGCCCTCTCTCTCTGACTAAATCAATTGCCCCTTCCCAGTCATGGAGTCTGAATCTGGGCTTTTACAGGGTGGAAAAGGTGAGTGTTACCTGAGCAGGGAAGTGGTAAAGTCCAGTTTTGATTTAAAGTAAAAAAGCGTTCTTTTCATATCCATCTGTAGCTTAGTATTAATTTATTAGTGTTTTTTCCCCAAGTAAGCATGCACTTTAAGTTGGTGCTGGGAGATTTGGAGGAGGAGAAAATATTACTTTAACTATAAAGGGGAATGAATTAAAAAGAGGGGTGGGTGTGGAATTCGGAGAGATACTTAAAGAAAGTAGGCAAGATTCATCAGCAAAGAAAAATGAAATGGTGGCTTGTTTTTTTAGCTGGGTAATGGAGTTCTCCCAACTTTCCCTTTGTAGCCCAACTAAAAAAGAGAACTATGAAATTATAGTCCATTTTCCCCTCAAATGTTCTCAAAAAACATGCCAACATAACAGAAAATAATTGGGGATGGGAAAAGGAACCCGCAAAAAAAAATCACAATCAGGGGCACATTAATTGCATCCCGGAGAGAACACTGAGCCATCACTTCTTGAATACTTGCTCTTAAAAACCAGGTTTGTGGGATCTAACATAGAAAATCACCTAATCATGTCCTTCCTGCCTCTACCAGAAAAATCTCCCTGTAGTGAATTTGGGGTCAATAGATGGGGATAACCTTTCTTCTATTCTTGAAATATTCCATTTGCAATATTATTGATGTTTTCTGCTTTGTTGTATTTTATTGTTGTAAGTTGTTAAAAGACAAACTTTCACTCACTGAGCTACAGTTCACTAAAGCAGATGTTTTAAAATAAAATGTGTTAGTCTGAACATGTGCTTTCTGATTCCTTCTAATTTTTGGTTTTCATAGACATTCATGGCTATCTACAATGAGATACAGTATGTAATTTCATGACAGATTTTAAAATCACAGGTATAATTGTTTGGGATTTATCCTTACCCTGTTTCCCTGAAAATAAGACCTCCTCGGATAATAAGCCCAATTGGGCTTTTGAGCACATGCACTAAAATAAACCCTTCCCAAAAATATTGCAACACAGCAGCAGCCATGAGGTGACCACTCTCGCCACCTCCTGTACCTCAAAAATAATTAAGACCTCCCTGAAAATAAGACCAAGTGCTTATTTTGGGGGTCAGGGAGACATGGTAGTAAATAGTAAATAAATAAATATATTGTAGTAATTCACAAGAACATAGAATACTTGGCATCAAAAAAGATTTTAATACTTTTTAAGCTGAAAAGTCATCATAGAGGTGTAAGATACATTAGGCAAATATATTTCTCCAGATCAATCCAAATTTCTTCTTAGAAGAGAGAAGACAAATTTAATTAGAGGAGGATTAAATATAACATGCAAAATACTGTAAACTCCAATAGCTTTACTATTCTTAGAAAATTGTGAAGCATTTAGTTGAGCAGAAAATAATTTTGTTTGTAAAAAAATGTTATTGAAAGGGGGGTTGGAAATGTTCAGTATTATAATTAATCAGATAATTAATTATAAATCTTGCAAACTTGTAATGTTTGAATATGTTTTACCAATGTGGTTTCAAATAAGTCAGGTAAATCATTTCTTTAACAAAATACATTGCTTGTATCGCTCAAGTCAATTAAGAATATTTAAAGAACAGTATGTGTCTATTTCATTTACTAGTAAAACATCAATATCATATAACTGCGTTATATTAAACACAGCAGGCTCTCCTGATACTCTCAATATACTTTGAACAGTGAGCTTGATAAATCTCATTGGGTTTTTTTCCTGACACAGAGAGAATTCAGAATGTTGTCAAGAATTTCTACTGAAATTATACTGTTAACAGTTATAACTCTTCCAGAATGTGTGGATATGCAAACAGATGTGTACAGAAAATCTGTAGTGGTAAAGCCCACTAAGTCAAATATTTTTAAAGAAACTGGAGAAATCATAAAGTAATCTCTTCAAATGAATTCAGTGGTGGAATCCTCCCAGTTTAATAATCAGTTTGGTGATCATGTGATTTGTGAATGGGTGTACAGTTTGAAGAAATCTTCACTTCCAGGTTTCTTCAGAGGAGTAACACAGCTGATTCATGCAGCAATCTGCTCTGCCCCATGAAACAGCTGAGAAGATAAAGGTAGGAAAATAGCACAGGCGGGCGGGCGGGCCCATCTGATCATCAGAGTAATCCAGTTCACTCCCAGCTGATCGTCAGAGCTACCAGTTTGCCTGAACCGGTCTGAACCAGTAGAATCCCACTCCTGAATGAATCATAGAGTTATTTGCCTACTGTATTTATTGAAGCATTTCTTAATGCAGCTTAAGGT